ATTCAGTTGTCTCTTTGCAGCAATATTGAGAAGCACATGGGATCTGGGAGGTGACAGAGGCCGAGGAACATGACGGGGAGGAAGCCCCAGGCGGTGGTATAGAGTCTCACCTGCCGGCAGACTCTCGACTTCTCCAGAAGGAAGTGCTCAATGCTGGCGCCCTCGATCACCCCGCTGGAGTTGAAGTGGATGTCAATGTACTTCCCGAAGCGGCTGGAGTTGTCATTCCGGACAGTCTTGGCATTGCCAAAGGCTGAGGGCGAAAGGGAGGTGCTCACCAAAGGAGCGGAAAGGAGAAAGTTTCCATTTAGAAGTCATCTGGGTAGGTTCTCCAGGGAGGTGGATGAAAGGTCTGGAGTCTAGGGTTTCAGGGACCAACAGTGAGGTGGTTGTCCTTTGGGGGCAGAAGTTCATTATTAGAGTCACCAATGCTGGACAGACAGACAGACAGCATGACCCCAATACTGCAGATAGACAACATGTCTGAAGCCTTGAGGAGAGTTCAGGTCCACATGGCAGAGCGGGAGTCCCTTCTTATAGGTCTCAGAGGAAGGGGGAGGTTTCCTGCCACATAGTTGAGGAGTAGCCTGCTTTGGGGAAGGAGTGGGGGTGTGGGATAAGAGAATAACATATCCAGCTGAGGTTTACCCATTATTCCAGTAGACACCCTGGAGTCCACGGTTCTGAACCGTAAACTCCCTTGGGGAAGTGAGAATGGTACCTGTCTGTCATTCTGGACTCCAGGCACCTGGGAAGTCGGTTAGGAAGTTAGAAGTCAGACTTTCGGTAGGGGAGTTGGGATTTCTTTCCAGCAGTGTGAGAAAGAGGCTGTGTCAGGTGAACATGGCTTGAAAAGCCTGTGTCTAAAATCTGGCAGTGGAGAGCCTGCAACTGAAGGCTGGCGAAGGTTTTCCAGGTGGGCTTGGCAGGCCAAGGGCAGTACAGGAAAGCTAGCTGGCCAGAAGACAGGAGGCTCCTGAAGAGTAGGAATCTGGCCTAAGTGCAGACCCAAGAGAAGAGGAAAGAAGGCTGGCCCAAACAGTGGATGGGCTAGGTGGCTTACAGCTGTGAACGCTAGGCTCAGAATTTGAGAACTGCCTCCTGCAGGGGCCACATGTAGGAGGCAGGGAGGCTTCTGAGGGCCAATAGAGCAGATATGCTGCCTGAGTGGGCATCCTGAAATACATATACATATGAGCATCACTAAATACACACACACACACACACACACACACACACACACACACACACACACACACCACATGAAAGAAGATGAGGCTGAAAAGATGAATCAGTACTTAGGAGCACTGACTTCTTCCACAGGGTTTGACTTCCAACACCTACATGGTGGCCCACAACCATCTGTATACTCCAGCTCCAGGGATCTGACATCCTCTTCTGGTCTCTGCAGGCACTGCATGAATGTGAAGATGCACAGGTATCCATGCAGACAAATCACTCATACACATAAAATATAAAAATAATTCTAGAAGAAGAGGTCATGAATTTAAACAGAAAGAGATAAACTGTGCCCCACAGCTACCAGACCTGGGGCCAACATAACAGGTGTCTGGGCTGCCTCTACCAGGGACAACACCCGAGGGTGGGGCACTGGCACCTAATGCAACTCTTCCAAGGAGAAGTTTGTTAAAATTCATTTAAAGAGGGCTGGAGAGATGGCTCAGAGGTTAAGAGCACTGGCTGCTCTTCCAGAGGTCTTGAGTTCGATTCCCAGCACCCACATGGTGGATCACAACCATCTGTAATGAGATCTGGTGCCCTCTTCTGGCCTGCAGGCATACATGCAGAAAGAATACTGTATACATAATGAATAAATAAATCTTTTAAAACATTCATTTAAAGAGGTCATGAATAAAGTTGGGGGACACAGGATGAGTTGGAGGAGGGAGAGGGGAAATGTTGTATATACAGTACTCGTGATGAAATTCTCAAAATGAAAGAGAGAGAGAGAGAGAGAGAGAGAGAGAGAGAGAGAGAGAGAGAGAACAGGTGAAAAGGTAGAGGTGAAGATGGAAATCATGAGCTCCTATGGGAGTGGCATGGGCTGACTCCGCCCCAGAGAAATTGGCTGTAGAAGGAGAAGGAGGTATGTGAGTTGCAGCAGAGACCCAAAGAAACTTGGGCAGAGCTGTTTGTGGGCTCCCACACTTCCATTAGCTGCCATTACTGCAGGCTTCTCGTGTGACACACAGCACTGTCAAAACTGTCAGAAGCAAAATGAAGTCACTTGTGCCAAACCTTCAATAACGACAGTAATAGTAAAGCAGGACTACAGCGAGGGCTCTCATACGTGTGCCTACGATGGGTAAGCAGAAACAGGAGGACCCCTGGGGGCTGCTGGCCAGGCAGTCTAGCCGATCAGTGAGCTCCAGGTTCAGTGAGAGATCCTGCATCAGAAATGGAGGTGGGGACTGGAGGGATGGTTCAGCAGTTCAGAGCACTTACTTTCAGAGAACTGGAGCTTGGCTTCCAGCACCCACATTTGGTGGCTCACAAACGCCTGTAACTCTAGCTACCAGGTATTTGACACCCTTTTATGGCCTCCTCGGACACCCACATACACATTTAGAAATAACACACACACACACACACACACACACACACACACAAAAAAAAAAAAAAAAAAAAAAAACCTACACTAAATTTGTTTTTAAAGATAGCCTGACCTCAAAGTCACAGTTCTTCTAACTCTAAACTCCTCATAAGCTGGCAAAATGGCTCAGCAGGTGAAGGTGCTCACAGCCAACCTCGATGCCCTGAGTTTGATCCAAGGGACTCACTTAGTGGACAGAAAAAGGATGACACTTTTTCTGCAAGTGCCATTTGACTTTTGCAAATGCATTGTGGCATCTGCATGTGCATGCATGCATATAAATGTACACACATACATGCGCTGTGAGCATAAGGGCCTGAGTTTGGGTCCCCAGAACTCAAGTGAAAACTGAGTTTGGGTCCCCAGAACTCAAGTGAAAACAAGCCGGGCGGTGGTGGTGCATGCCTTTAATCCCAGCACTTGGGAGGCAGAGGCAGGTGGATCTCTGTGAGTTCCAGGCCAGCCTGGTCTACAGAGCGAGATCCAGGAAAGGTGCAAAGCTACACAGAGAAACCCTGTCTCGAAAAAACAAAACAAAACAAAAAACAAAACAAAACAAAAAAAAAACTGGGCATGATGGCACATGCCTATAACCTCACAAATGAAAGGGGTGAAATGGGAAGCAGTCTCTGGAGTTGGCTGGTCAGCCAGCTGAGCCTACTTGGTGAAGTTCCAAGTCAGTGTCTCAAAAGAAAGGTGGAATGGGCCTGAGGTTGACTTCCGACCTTCTTATGCTTATATATACGTGTGCACATCTGCACACACATGTTCACCCCTCCCTGAGATTAAAAAAAAAAGTAAAAACATAGAGATGGGGAAGAGAAAGAGATAAATTGTACCCAGCAGCTACCAGACCTGGGGCCAACGTAACAGGTGTCTGGGCCACCTCTACCAGGGACAACACCCGAGGGTGGGGCACTGGCACCTAATGCAACTCTTCCAAGGGGAAGTTCGGTCCAGACTCTGTCATTAGGTTGCTCTTGTGAGCTCTCCACAAAATATGACTGCAGCGTCTCTCATGGTAACCAGCGAGATGGTGGCTGCAGGCATTAACTCTGACACAAGATGTCCAGCTTGACCTCCTCCTTGCCCAATCCTGATTCCTCTCATCCTTGCTAAACTATCCAATCAGCATCTGAGCCTGAATCCTTGCTCTATCTACTCCTGCTTTCTCCTCTGTGTCTTCTCTAGGGTTCTCCATCACAGCCTTAATGTATGTAACCCTGAAGCGACTTCTCGGACCCAGAAACACACAGACACTTCTCAAACTGGCTTGAACTTGGGACCTCATTTGAAAAGGAATACTATTTTTTTTCCTTTTTGGTGTGTGTGTGTGTGTGTGTGTGTGTGTGTGTGTGTGTGTGTGTGTGCCAGAGATTAAACTCAGGATACCCTGAGTTTTTGAGAGAGGGTATCTCACTGGGATCTGGGATCTGAGGCTCACCATTTAGGCTGGGCTGGCTGTCATTTGAGCCCCAGGGATCTGCCTGTCTCTGCTTCTCCTCTGCCAGGATTACCAGTGCCACCGTGCCTGGTTTTGATGTCGATGCTGGGGATTGAATTTAGGTTCTCATGCTTTTATGGCAAGCATTTTCCCAGCTAAGCCATCTCTACAGCCTCTCTCTTCAGTTTTTACTGAGGTAGGGTTTTGTTATGTAGTCCAGGCCTTAAATTCGACATCCCCATGCCTTGGCTTCCCCAGAGCAGGGATTACAGGTATGCTACCACATCAGGCTGAAATGCTCTGTCTATCTGGTGGCAAACACTCATCATGGACATTTATAATAATCACCTGTTCCTATGCTTCCACACCACTGTTCACCCATCTCTTTGAAGGTCATGACTTGAGTAATGGCTATCACATGTGGCGAGGGCCATTCTGTCCGAGTCCCCAGGATCATGGCTTACCTTCTAGGATGGGGTTGGCCTCCAGGACCTGCTGTTCAATCCACGAGTGCTGGCCGCTGACTGTGGCCAGGAACTGAAGGATGAGTTTGGTCGACTCAGTCTTTCCGGCTCCAGACTCCCCACTGCCAGAGAGTGCAGGGAGATGAGGCCTCAGACAGAGACTTGCCACCATGTAGTGCCTCCATTCTTTAATATTGACCTCCCTAAACCCGCCATCCCCCGCCTCCCCAGCCTTCAGGTCCACATCTGGGCCATGCTGACAGGCACACACTTTCCCAAGAAGAAATCCCACATTGCATTTGCCCTGAGGTCCCCTGGGGCACCTCAGACTGTCTGTGATGCAGGCATGTCCAACCTGTGGCTTGTGGGCCACATGTGTTCCAGGATAACTATAATATCATTCAATACAGTTGTGGAAGACTCAATAAGTTGAACACCCCGGATAGAAGTTAATACGTTGTCTTTCCTTTCCTAATAGGCTGAAAGACTCTTGGCACATTATGACCTGGGTTGTTCCACAGCGGAACAAGTAAAGTGACTCGGTGTCTTTCTGATGAAAGTGTGGCTCCCAGGCAATGGCATTTGTCACCCAGACAGAAGTCCAGAATCCCGGGTTCCATCAGCCAGACCCAATCAGAATCTGTGTTTTTATATAAGGAGCTGTGTGTGATGGTTAGTATTGGTTGCCAACTTGACAGGCTCTGGAATCAGCATGGAGACAAGCCTCTGGGTATGTCTGTGAGAGCTTATCCAGATTGGTGGCTTGAAGTGGGAAAACCCACCCTCAACATGGTTGGCAGCTTCCCTTGGACTGGGGTCCTGGGCTGAATAAAAAGGAGCGGTCAAGCTGAGCACCAGCCTTCCCCTCTCTCTGCTTCCTGACTGAGGATGTGAGCAGCTGCCTCAGTCCCTTGCCTTGGTGCCCTCTCCGTCATGACGGAATGGGAGTGCTTCCTCCCTTCGGTGCTGTGTTAGATGTCTTGGGCAGCTGGCGCTGGCTACTGTGGCAGGACTCGAGGGACTGGCTCGCTGTCCTGGAGAGCCAGCTCTGATTTCAATATCCAGCATTGCTTAAACAAGACATGGTGCTGCGTGCTTACCATCCCAGCACTTAAGGAGCAAGGGGTAAGAGGATCAGAAATTCAAAGCCATCCTCAGCTACACAGCAAATCTGAGGTCAGTCTGGGCTACATAAAACCCTGTCTCTAAGCCGAGTGGTGGTGGCGCATGCCTTTAATCCCAGCACTCGGGAGGCAGAGGCAGGCGGATCTCTGTGAGTTCGAGGCCAGCCTGGACTACAAAGCGAGTTCCAGGAAAGGCGCAAAGCTACACAGAGAAACCCTGTCTCGAGGGAAAAAAAAAAAGACCCTGTCTTTGAAAAACAAATATGAAAAGAAAAGTGATTAGGTAAAAGATGGGCTGGTCCTTGCCCTCCAGAGCCACCCACTTTCCTGTCTGTAAAGTACCAAGTCTGGTTTTCTGTCACAGCAGCCAAGAAAGGGCTAAGATGCCAGGGCAAAAGGAGAACCTAGGCTCACTCAAGATGCCACAGAAGATCACCACGGGGAGCCAGGCACCAGGGAGCCTGCCCTTTGGCCTGGCTCTGTTTGGGAGGCCTCTTGCATCAAGGCAGGGAGGGACATATAAAGACAGGTAGGTCCCAGAACACCTCCCTGTCTTCTCTGGAGCCCTGGATTTGAAGTTTCTACCTATGGGCCTATGGCAGAAAATAGAGGCCGGAGGAAGCTACCCCAAGCTCAACATATGAGAGAAGCCAATCGACAGATAAAGACTGGAAACTCTTCCTACATGGGCTGCACACAGCAGACAGAGCACATGTGAGAAAATACTATTCACTGAGTGGGCGGGTGCTATGTAAACACCTACAACGGGTTCTGTGGCTGGTGGCCGGCACTTTGAGAGTGGATGCTTTTCCCCAGCGTATTAGCCCACCCCCGCTCTCGGGAGTATACTTCCTTTCTTTAAAACAGTATCTATTTCTATTTCTAACCACACGGCCTGGGACCCAAGAGCCCAAGGAACTCCAGCAGGTGTGCCTGGGCCTGTAACATCATCGGGAAAGAACGTCAACCTCTCCAGGTAGAGGTTTGAGTGACTGAAGGCATGAAGTGGCGTCTAGGCTGGGTTGCCATTCTGGTGTCCCTGCTCAGAGAGGCAGCCTCCTCTGCTTCCCTTTAGTGCTCTGAGCATCTGCATCCAAACGTGCTACTGCTGCCTGCCAGTCTACTGTTCTGTGACAATGAGCCCTCGGACAGGAGATGGCGTCTCTTCTACCTGCTGCTGTTTCCTATGCTCGGAACTTATTATTGATTTGTATTTATTACTTATGTTTATTTTTAAAACTGGGTGACACGAAAAAGTAACCCAGGCTGGCCTAAATTTTGCTGCGTATTCAAGAATGAACTCGGATTTCTGATCTTCCCGCCCCCGCCTTCTGAGTGCTGGCATTACAGATGTGCAGGCGCCAGGCTCCTGCGGTGGTGTGGACAGAAGCCAGTGCTTCAGCATGCTAAGCCAACATGCTAACAGATAAGCGACACCTCTAGCCTGGAGTGTAACAAGATCTCCAGTGAACTGAATAAACAAACTCATGAAGAGGCGAGTGAAGATTACAATACCAAGTTAGGGGACTCGGGAACCAAATTCTTACTCCTTCTCTCTTTCTGTTCACAGTCCCTCCCCTCAGTAGGGGTAAGGTCTGTGCCCAGGGAGGCCAGGCTGGGACAGGCAGGGAAGCAGAACCAGGCTTGGGATTTGAGGGGCCCATGTCCCTCCAGCCCTCAGAGACCTCAGAGTCAGGAGGACATGTCTTCAAGGAACATATATCCTCAGGGTGTGGGAAATGTGTCCTTAGGATGGGGAGGAATAAGTCCTTGGGCTGTGGAGGACATGTTCTCGAGGTGTGAGGGACATGTCGTTGGGAGCAGGGCAAACAGGAGCAGTTCTGGGCAAACACCTCTGCTAAGAGCAGTGGTTAAGAAGAGGCCCCGTGAGAGCCTCGAGAGGGGTGTTCCTTTCTTTCTGGGATCCTCTGGGGCCTGGAAGCAATCGCTGACCCTCTGCCCCAGGAGGGGGGTCTGAGCCTCACCTGATGATGCAACACTGGTCCCTCTTGTTCTTCCTCATGTTGAAGTAGCAGCTGTTGGCGATAGCGAAGACGTGTGGCGGCTGCTCGCCCATGTGGCGGCTGTAGTAGATCTGTACCTGCTCCGGGGTGTACAGGGGCAGCATCTGGAACGGGTTCACGGCCACCAGGATGGAGCCTGTGTAGGTCTGCGGAAGGGAGCGGGTGGTTAGCACCTGCCGATCCCGGGACGGAGCCGCGGACTGGATACCCCCCGCCCCCCCCCACCCCCGCCGCCCGTCTTGGATGCAGCACCCGACACCCGCTCCCCCGCCCCACCCGTCTTGGCTGCAGCACCTGACACATGCCCTCCCACCCCCCTCTAGGGCTGCTCTCAGCTCCTCAGCTCCTCCCTCTGGGAAGGTGGGGGTTCCACTGGGACAGTGAGATTCTGGGGGGCTTGTTCCTAGCAATTATATGTGTAGCACCCTGTCTCGTTTTAGAAAAGGCTCAAACAAAAATGGGCTGAATGTGTAAATGACTTTTTACCTGCCTCTTTGAGAGGTCTCTGTGGAGGCTGGGTGACATCTGCTGTCCCCACAGACCCCAACCACATGTTCTATGTACTTTCAGCCTGGGATATAGCCTGCTCTTGAATACCCTGGCCCTACTCAGCACAGCTGCTCCTGTGGAGGTGAGATCAGAGAGTCCCCACAATAGACCACTGGATTATTCTTCGGACCCTGGGAAGGACACTCCTGCAGGAACGCAGGAGAGGAGGAGCTCCACACGTACAGTCCTAGGAGCTTTGACATCCCGGAGCCAGAGAAGAAGCAGCCAGGCCCAGGCTAAAGTTCACTCCCTCCACTAAGCATTCCCTTCATGCAGGTTCCCCAGTTTACTCCCAGACTAGTCAGACTGCCTGCCTGCCCAGACCACTCAGGAGTCCCAGGCAGTAACTCTCCAAATCTTATCCACTTGGACAGAGCCCTGAGCATCCCCAAGAGATATTGACACCAAGTATGAAACTCCATTTCAGACTTCTGGAGAACTGGGATGAGAGATGAGTCCAGCTACCACCCACTGCCAGGTTTGAAAGAGGACCTTCGTCTGTCCATAAGCTCCCCTCAACCTGGGGAAGGGACCCTGGATTTGGACTGTCACAAGACTGTTCCAAGTGGGTAAGGGTCTTCCGTTGATGACACTGTCTCTGCAACATGTCTCGGGGGACTGAAGGCTATGCCCACCCACCCCACCATCCTCCAGTATCCACCCAGCCTGGCCAATCAGGGCTGCTCAGCACAGAGAGGGAAGAGTGGACTTGGCTGGCATTTATGGGAGGGGCAGCACTTATTAGGCATCTACTGTATGCCTGACTGTGCTGTCGCTTGCACTAGCCTCCCATCCCCCAGGGTATGATGTTCCCAGTTTTGCTTTTTTTTTTTTTTTAATAGTCTCATGGAGCCCAGTCTATATGAGTCTCAAACTCAAGTAGCTGAAGATGACCTTGAACTTCTAACCCTCCTGCCACCACCTCCCTAGTGCAGAGATTACAGGTGTACATGACTATGCCCAGTTTGTGTGTTGGGAATCAAACCCAGGGCTTCATGTATTCTAGGCGAGTACCAACTGAACTACCTCTCTAGCCTTGCTCCCGTTTCTTTGGATTGTAGCAGAGACTGGGGAAACCCAAGCACCTAGCCCACCTCACTGAGTAAGGATAAGGGGAGCTGTGCCAAGCTCCAGACCGCCCCCCCCATCTTTCCCGAGGACACCGCACCAGTGAACTCACGTAGATCTTGTGCTGCTGGTACCGGACCAAGAGGTTGTGTACCACACCTGCCTCGTTCAGGTCCCCTAGGCGGATCATGTCATCCACTCCTTGGGCTGAGTTGGGATGCATGGGGCTGAGGGTGCTGAGGTCTTCTGCACAGATCCAGTGTTCCTGTAAGGACAGGCACAAACTCTCCACAAAGGGCAGCCCTCTAACCCCACCCTCCTCTCTCTTCCATAGTCTCAGGTCTCTGGCCAGGCTTGATCTGGGTTTGAGTCAAGGGATACCTATGACAAAGCCAGACCCATCTATGGCTTTGGTCAGCACCTGTCTTGGGACTGGGGTCCATGTGGGGCTGGTGCTAGGGCTGAGCTTCAGATAGGGATGTAGGATCTAGCAGCTGGGAGTTTGCCTTAGCCTCAGGGTGCAGCTGGAAGCCTTGAGAGTTCTTGGAGCAGAATATGGTGCAAGTAATCGCAGCTTCAACCCTCCGCAGCACTGCTCAAGCAGATGGAACACTGTTATTGTTTTGTTGGCCTCCAGCCTTTGGGGCTCCTAGGCAGTTAGAACCTTCCTCTGTAGGCCATTGTCTGCAAGCGTCTCTCCCGATAGCCCCTTGGGACAGGGAGGTTGGCCCAAGGAGGAGTGAAGTGACCAGCTGATGCTTGCCCACTCACTGTCCTTGGTTGTCCCTGTCTTACTCAGATGAGCTTCTAGCTGGGCCAATCTGAGCTGTCTGCTTCTAACCTGGACACCTTGGTCCCTTCCTCCTCCTCTGCACACCTTGTTCACCAAGATGTCGCTCCTGCCTCCTTCTCTCCGCACAACAGTGTTTGGACCTCCGTCCTCCCTGCTTCAGCCCTTCTGCTCACTCCTTCCTACCCCCCTAACAGCTCCCGACCGTTACTCTCAAAACATTTTCAAGACAAATATGTCCTTCCGCCAGTGCGGGACTCCATCGTGGTCTATA